AACGATGAAATGACCTCGTCTCACTGCCATGCAAACACAACGAAATCAACAGTAGAACTCGAAAACATTTCGAATTGTCGTTTTACCATAAACTGGGAAGAATTGAACTTTCAAACGCAAATACTTTAGAAAGCGGCTCTGAGGAAGGCGAAGTCCGCCGAAACGTCAGCTTGTGCGTAAATAAAGAAATAAAATAGCACCTCGTGTTTGCTGTACTTTAGAAAAGTTAGAAACGGAAAACTGTGTGTTTAAAAAGTAGTCCCTTCTGATGGATTTTCTTAAATTATAGGAAGAATAACAACTGTAATATAAAGGCTCATTGGTTATCTATACTTGCGAATAAATCGCGCTTGAAGAACAACCGCGCCACGAAAGCAACCATGCGCTCCTATCTGCCAGAATGGGAAAAATGGTGCCAGACTTATCTGAGAAGGGCTTTCATCAAGACTGCCTGTGGTGAAGACCTTGGCACGCCTTAGCACGGCTATCACGAGATCACAGGAAGAATCGACTCTACCAGCATTGATCTACATTCATGAAGAAGACTAAAATCTCCAAACAGCAGCACCACATGCAGGTCCGAAAAGCTTCGTGTGTGAGGGTGAAGAGAAGACGAAACGAGTGGAAGAAGTGCTGAGATTCGCACAATATGTGATGTTGAGTGGGGTAAGTAAAAGAAACCTAAATAAATAGACGGACAACATCACAGTCCTCATACAACGAGACCTATTTAAGCGTCAACCGTTTTTTATTACAAGCATTAAAGCAGTCAACGGAAAAAACATTGTTTTGTCCGGAAGGGAAACAAGTCTTTTAAAAATCGTAGAAGAAACCATCACTAGGTTTCGAAAAAACGACCTTTGTCGTAAAAAATGGAGCTGGTGCTTGAGTAGATTACACTAAATTTAGCTATCAAATTACCATCAATGAATTTCATAAGACTTCACCGTCCAGGGCGGACGTGGAGAAATCCCAGTAGACTTTTTTCGAACAAGAACGTTGATCAGATCGGCATGGCAATCGGCTAGTGTGGCCTGCCGTTCAGCTCTCATAAACACCGCCCGCTTCAAGCCATATGTTGTGCCGATTTACACATTGCGTATACGGAACTCTTTGAGTTGGACTAAGTATAGAGGCCTACTTAGTCAAGTGAAACAAGCACGGTGGCTTTGAACGTTTGTCTTCGCGATTTGTTTAGGTGTTCTGGTGTTCCTTTTCATTTGCTTTGTTTTCGTTTTGACAATTTCAGCAGTTCCTCCCAATGGTTTGCCATGGCTGAGAGGTAGCCCCGAGTGATGGACTGCGATGTACAGCGGGTGCAGCGGGTGATTCATCCTCGCCACAGGGTTTCCCAAGCTAAGGAGACCGGCGTTTCCAGAAGGAAATCCAGTCAGGATTTAAGCAATACCACGACCCACCAACGTCTTGATGTCAAATTACTCGAATGGTGGCAAATCTCTCTCTAATCGACAACGGCGGCGACTACCTGCAGTTGTGACGACTTGGAGCCGACTTTGTTCTAACTGACCTCAGAACTCCAGGAAACCACAATGGGTAGACTAACAAAACTCCGAAAAAACGGAAATTATGCTGTTCTCTGCACAACCAGTGAGGACGGGCCATCCAATCATCCAACGAGTAATTTCAGTAGTTGTGAAAACGGTCCTAAGATTTGCAGGAATTCCCATTAATTGCTAGGCAATAACAGACTTTCGAGAAAATCATCATTTCTACAGTGTAAAAAAAAATCCACAGTTAATAGTTTGACAAAAGTTTGACAAAAGTCGCACCTGACTTGTCTCTATTTTGTGCTATGTTTATACTTATTCCCTTATTATCTTGTCAATCATCTGGTGACTTGAGCGAGCACTTCTTGAATATCCATTCCTTGTTCTGCCCACGAAGCAAAGTTGCCCAATTAGCCTCATTCGAGAGAAAAACGAGCCAATATTATGCAGTTTTCTGCAGATCTTGTTTTCTTTAGCTGTTTGCACAGGGAGACACCCACAACTCGTAAAAGTGATCATGAGCTTGTCGCCATAAGCAAAGGGACTCGGGAGACGATTTCTAGTCTCTGCCGTACGAGATTTACAAACACCTTTAGTATGTACCTACATTTACGCTTCCTTATATGCAGATTATATCCTTCATGTAAATTCAAGCACTGATCTGCAATGGAGTGGTTGAAAAGAGCACTGAAGATGGTTAAAAATCGCCATCAACAAACAATTCCTGATATCTTAAAAAAATAGAGCGGGAAGTAACCCATAAGTCCACTTAATATGCACTTTGAGTATTAGTCGCCGAAAATACTGAAAATAAAAAGCCGTATACTTCAAAAGATCTCGAAAGAACCTCCTAGAGAGTAATGATGGGTAGGACTAGTGCTGAAAGGCTGACAAATCTCAGGGCTATGTGAGTTTCTCAAGAGTGAAATGGCTGTAGCGACTTCCTATGCTTGAAAAGAACAGTCATTAGCACTTGAATTCTCCAAAGAAGAGTTAATGGTGTAAGCAAAGATATTAATTGTGGACAAGCAAAACAGCAACTACTGAGCACTCGTTACTGTGGCAGAGTGGAAGAAATAAGGAACGCTGCTCAGCTTTCTATGTGTTAAATGTGAGAATACAAAATCGAAATGAATGCAGAATTAACCGGGAAATATTGCATCACAATAAAGAAGACTAAACAAATTTTTCCACCGTCTTTTACCCTCAAAGAATAGAACCAATAGAATAGAGGTTCGAGACCAGCAACGTTAATGAAATGGGTTTCCAAATTGGCGCACTGCGATAAGAAATGTTCTAGCTTCGAGATAGAACCAGTCATATAAGCCACCTGCAGTCAACGAATCTCTGCACGAAAAATACAAAAATCGTTGAAAAGTCGTTCGGTGACTTTCAATTTCAATTTCAGCTTTCGTTCAGCAATAAGAATTCCACCTCTCTGAAGCGACAGTATCATCGACGTTATTACTGGAGTTCGAAAAAAAAACTCGCCAGAATTATTCACCACCACCATCAAGGAAGTAATGCGAAAAGTGGAATGGCAAACATGGTGTTGGAAGAGTGACCATGAATGATTGGTAGCCACCCGTTCTTCTCCTTGATGGTGATCCGTTTTTGCGATATTAAGCATAAGCCGCGCGTAATGAACGCGAAAACGATTTTCAGGAGCAACCGATTCGTTTCATATATATTTCTTACGCTCAGTAATATACTCCAATCCAATAATTGTATGTTTTTCGGTCGATATGCCAACATTGATAACGGCTTGGCCTCAGGCAAAGGATTGAGGCAACCACTTTTGTGACTTCATCGTTCCTCCTGCCTAAAGGCTCACTTCGCAAGCTTGAACAATATGTGATCAGGTCAAAATCACCAGGATTTATGTAGAGGGGCAATGGAAAGGCCATAGTGGAAACGTTTCATAACAGGCAAATAATAGAGAGAATTCGGGCCTTTTAACTATGCAAGTGATAAAAAGTGAGAAGAGCCAACACCGTGACGTCAAAAATCAGGTAGATCGGAGCCCCAATAAGTCTCAGCTGTCGAAAAGTGCCGTTAGCTAATAGGTCACATGGGATATAAAGCGCATATCAGCTGCCAGACCACTGCTTTCAGTCCTTAGAGCGATTAGAAGACACTGGCTCACTTTAGTAGAGGTGTATCGATGTACCAAGTCAATGTTTCCTTCCTTCCAGAGAAGGTATAAAATTTGTCAAGCCGAAAGGCCGGAAGTCATGGTGAACCAAGGTGCGATAGCGATTAAGTGGGTATTGCAGGGCAAATCAAACAACTGTGATAAAGGCCTCTTTCAGGCTAGAATGGACTTTTATTTAGAATAAAGATTATTAAATTTGCGTCATTTACGTTCTACTAAAGAAGTTCTAAAACAGCGAGAAGCACGTTTCATCAGGCGATCGACCGCATCGGTCAGGCGTTTCGGTTGTTCCCTAAACCGCCACTAGTTTAGAGCGCCTGAAGAGTTGTTGCTAATCACAACGGTATCATGAGCTTAACAAAACGAAAGGCACAAACGCTGCAATGAATTTCTGATATAAAAGCTTTTTGAAGAAAAAAATTCGAGTAACTAAACAGGGGCAAATTGGAGACCTCCAAGATATGTTTTCCACGTTTGAAGAATAGTGCTAAATTGATTATATGCATATCCATAGTGTTGTTAAATCGGACAATAAATAGCCTCGAGAACGCTCCCATTCCTCCAAGTAGGTCCTTACGTTGTGTAACGGTTTCTCTTCATTCGGGTTGTTCGGGGATCACATTTCGCTTCCAAGGTTTCCTCTCATCGTTATTGACTCTCACATGTATTAGGCCCTAGTGGTCGTTTGCTACGCAATTCTACATTAGAACTTTCCCTGAGCAGATATAGCTCAATATTTTTGCATGTGTAGCCTTCATTATGGGAATTGTGGCCGTTGTGAAGCGTGTTCTACTAATTTCGATGTGAACAACTATGTCAGCAGATAGGTAACCAAATTTTCCCTATTTAACCGAAGTAGACTTAAACCTATACGTTTTATTTCACACCATTTCCTCTTGTAAGCTGCCAGACTTATCGTTTGTCATCTTCTCCTACCGCAATGTAGAACTAGACGGTCGGAGTTGATTAATCAAGCAGTTCATGATACAAGCAGAGTAATCGATAGTAAAGAATCTCGTTTAGAAAGATCGCATATGAATCATATCTTCACTCACAGTCCTCGTTCAACCGAACTTCTCAACAAGATACGTCGATACAAATCGCAATACGTATCTGCGGTGATTGATATGAGAACTACTGCTTACATAGCAAGGCACTGTACATACAGAGCACTGTGCACAGATATGGTTATCATGATACTTCTGCAGAATGCTCAGATTCCTTCTCAAATCTTCGGACATTTGCAAAATCCTTTTATCAAAAATCATTTTAACACCGGTTATAAAGAACAAAGGAACTCCTTAACACAAAATTAAAACAAAATATAACACATTGCTCTAAATCCATATATTGTCTCTCCAATTGATGTAATTACTGGCTTCGACATCGTTTGAATCGGATACAGGGTTTTCGTTCCCTAGTGGTAGAATCTCTACCACTTTTTCCGGAAATAAGTGTCTGCGACCATCGTTTTTAAACGACTGCTTATTTTCAAAGCTAGCCTCAAGTGGTGCGCTCTGTGCTGCTTCCGTCTCTGATGTAACGAACTCCAGCCTTGTGAAAGTAGTGGGCTTAAGAGCAAGTTTCGGTACTGGAGGCAACGGCTCTCCACACTGCTTTGCACGACGACGACGTGCCTTTAACGAAAGAAGAAATCTCGCGGCTAATGAGCACTGTTCTATCACGTTTCGTGCAGTAATGCAGCACTCCTTAATCTGGAAAAAAGCCAATAATTAAGTGCCGAAAACGGCTTATGAAGCAATTTCACTCACTTTCTTGAAATGCGCACTTAATTCCCTGTCCATTTCTTCCTCAACATTCTCCTCCAAAATCTCTGTTGGTGTCGGACCACCTCTGAGGAACACGGCTGTCCACTACAAACGGTAGAAAGAATAGTTCACATTATTAGTTGTCCGTCAGAAAGTGAATGCCTACAGCAATTACCCACGATTCTACTAGCTTTTCGAACGGTTTTCTATGGAATTTGAAGCATTTTTCCGCGTAAGTTTCACGTTTTTTCCTTACATCAACCGATTTCGTGCCGCACCCGTTACAAGGGCTGTGTGCAGTGCCCAAATGGTGTAAACAGTGGCCACTATGTGTGATTAAATGCGAGCAGCATATAACACAGAGCACCATTTATGGCAATTTTAGGTTTTAATGGATGTAAAAGTGTTTCTTCCAGGTGGCTAAGGTTATAAAGATCCCATATGCTATGCGCGAAGTGCCTACTCCAAAAAGTTTATAAAATAATTTTTCTATTTCCATACTTATAACAGTACCCAGTATGACCCGGAAAGTGGTGGATGAACTGTTTATACATACATATGTATACAGATGTGCATATACATATTTATGTTCGTCGATGGATATATTAACTTTAGAAAACCACTTTTCATCTAAATTGGTATGATCTGTTGTAATCGATATCGATTTGTCGTTCTATACGTGAGCTCGCACGACGTAGGTGCTCATATGATATATGCTGTATCTGTTATAATTCTACTGTATTCCTTTTCATCACGCATTTAAATCTTCGCAAATCACTCCAAATGTCTCAAATATTCCTTTTGGCACTTCACTGCTCCACGGAAAACCCGTCAACGTGATGTTTAGATGTTGATGATGGAACAACCTCCGTCAGAAGCGCAAAAGCGAGAGAAAACGTAGAAGAACGAGATCAGATGTGTAATACTTGCAACAATGTGATTCGAATTGTTTGTGAGGTCGACATGACACCGCTTCGAGACACCTCTTCTCCATTTTCACCAAATGATTACGGGTAAGCGTTGTCTGACACGTACTGAGAAGATTGTAAACTTTTTAACTGGACATGCACACTATTTCAAGAATATTACGCATTTTTCCTTCAGTTCAATGCCTTCAGGAACATCTCTTGTAATTTTTTCAGCTCTTAGCTCTCATTAAGGAGGTTCTGGAGGTGTGCCAGTAAACCAGGGACCTCCGGGTCCGTCACTTGCTTCCGTCGGATACTCTCCCCCACCTATATCATTGTGAGTAAATTCCCTTCTGCATAGCTCATATAACTCTTTTCCCGATAGCACTTCCTAGCAACACTTTAGCATTCTAAACATATTCGCATCATACATATACTATAAAATGTAGATTGCACCCTACGGGTTTTTGAGAACAATTTCCAACACCTCAGTTATGTTTGGAGAAATGCAGACTTCATAGCTGTTTATAAATACAACTTCTGTTGAAGCACACTGATGTGCGAGCAATCAGCCTATCTAGAGAAAAATTCTCGATGATTTGCCATCTTATCCTAGCGAAAAACTCTCCTCAAGTGTCGAATCCCAGTACACAGGTACCGAGGTTCATGCGGCCACACTCTCTACGTTGTACACACCCTCAAATTGCAGTGTTCTCTCGCATACGGAATATATTAGTCCAAAAAGAGGTTTTTGACGAGTTATCGAATGATCAATTAATAATATCCCCCATGGAAGACGATGGCGGAGTCAACAGCATTGGATAAGCAATCAAATGACCAGAAGAAGTCAAGGAAAAAACTGCTATGCATCAAAATAGACCACCGAGAAGAAAATGACACCTATAGATGTAATACTTTCCACTACCCCAAAACCATTACGAAACCTATCACATGCCATTCGGCGCGATAGTCGTACATAGATAGCACTTCAAACTTTAGTGCTAGGTCTACCATTGTATGCCACCAAGAAATCATGTTGGAAGAACCAAACGAACCAAATTTTCGAATTCGTCGAGGACGATCTGGAAGGCACTCGGTGCTGACTTGTTAGCATCAGGGTTGGACTGAGACAATATCTGAAAGTAGGAACATAGAGTCATAAAATAATAACTTTTACAATATCGTGCTACTTCAGTTATAAAAAAAACGTCTCTCAGAAGTAAATATAAAGAAGGAATAGGATTTTATTAGCTAACGAAAAGATAAAGGGCATTTGAAGAGATTCGGATTACAAGGATTTTGAAGTCGGACAGTTTCTCAAACGTAGCACCCATATCCAGGAAATCAGACTCGGAAATTCAAAAGATCGATTTTCTACAAACCTCACAATTAATAATTAATTTATATAAATTTTATGAACTGTCTTTGCTACGAGTGATCTCACAGCTTATAAAACGGCACTGGGAAACCAAATTTGCCGAAACATATGCCTGTGAACAACGACAAGAACTTGTAACAACCTCACATCAGGTCAACAATGGCACTTGGCAAGTCTCAGAAATATTACGTCCGATGATGATTCTGTCAACGTTTGACAGGTTCAAACCCAAACAAACCCAAATAATTAAGGTTGGGAATTAGAGCCTCCATAGAAATTGAGACTGGAAGAGTTCTAAAACCCTATGGTGGGATCAAAATATATTGACTCAAATAAGTTATGGAAAGATTCACACTCACAAAACGGAAGTATCAGCGATATTAAAGCAAAGATATGCTAACACTATTCTAACTCTACCCACCTTTCTGACGTCGTCAGCGAATTGTTCTGAATCTAAATACTGACTATTCGCTAACTTGGACCTCACGGACTTTAGATCGGCCACGCAGGCAAGATGCTGAAAATTTTTACAGCTGACAAAATAAAATCGTAAATACAAGACTTTGTAACTCCCACGACCGACTTTCTATTAACCTCGGGCAATGATCAAGTAATTCTTCGTATTTTTGTTGAGCAAACCCGAGGTGTTATTATTCTTTATTCACGAATAAGCTGATGTTTCGGCGGATTTCACCTTCCTCAGAGCATGGAAAGGTCAAGTTGTTAGCAATCTACTCGGCCAGACGCCTCCATAACCAAACAAAAAACTCTAAACCAAGATTTCAATCACATTAAACACAGCTTTGCACACTCACCGCTTTCTATGAGGTTTCCACTAAGTATGTCACGTAGAGACCAACCGCACAGAAATCACATGGAAGCATAATGTGATGTACCAGCACGATACTTCGAACTTCTAAAGGAAGCGCTGTCACCAAGACGAAAGATCGTCTTAGCTCGGCAGTCAGTACACTTTCTCCACCGTTGTCTAAAACACCGAGTCGTCCCGAACCTCATCAAACGAAGACGACTACACGCTGTATGCGGACTACCAAAGAACAGTCACCGAGTACTGGGCTTTGAATTGCGAATAATATGCACCTATCTACGAAGCCGACAAAACCAAATGTTCGCTAAATGGAAGAAGTGTGAGACGAAGGAAAACTATTGTGCCCAGTATTTGCAGGACTGCCTCTGGAGGAGAATAGTGGGTGGGTCAGTGTTGATTTGCAACTCTATTACGTCTACTGCTAAAGTAACTTTGCGGAGAAAATTCGAAGACCTTTTGAGCAAATCACGTAACACAGATTCAATAGCGCACAAAAATATCACTAAGAAACATTAAACAGAACACAATACGATAGGTAATGTGCAAGAAAATTCAAGGCTAACCGTGTTAGGAGGCATGACTATCCATGACGTCGCGCGCTCGTTATTAGAATTGAGGCCAAGTTTCTCACCATCTGAACCCATTTCTAAGATAACCTTGTGTAGGGTTGCATGTAGTTTACATGAACTTCAAGATAGACTCCGCAAAAAAGCTAGAGATGAAGCGCTAAATAGGTGCGCACAACACCAAGTGGGGCCCTACCAATAGCACCATTTCCCCCGACGTTCTTTAGACAACAAGAGCCCAATAATGAAGTTGA